CTCATCTCTCTCTCTTCTCTCTCTCTCTCTCTCTCTCTCTCTCTCTCTCTCGTCGCTCTTCTTCTCTATCTTTCGCTAACTCTCATATCTCGTCTGCTCTCTCTGTGTCTTCGCCTTTCGTCTAAATGTATCTTTGTCTCCTCGGTCTATGTCTTCGGATGTTCGCTCTCTCCACTCTCTTTCTCTCCTCTCTCGCTCTCTCTCTCTCTCTCTCTCCTCTCTCTCTTCAGTCTCTATTCTTTCTCTTGGTTCTCTCGTCTCTCTCTCTCAGCTACCGGTCTCGCTCAGTCTCTCTCCCTCACGGCGCACTCGCCTCTTTCTCTCTCTCTCTCTCTCTCTCTCTTTCTCGCTCTCTTCTTTCTTCTTTCTCTCTTCAGTCTGCTAGTCTCTCTCTATCTTCTCTCTCTCTCTCTCTATCTCTCTTCTCTCTCTCTCTTTCTCTCTCCTCTGCTATCGTAACTCTGTGTGGTGTCTCCCCCTCTCTCTCTCTCTGTCATCTCTCTCTCTCTACTCTCCTCATCTCTCTCTCTCTCGCAGTCGCTCTGGCTCGCGCTTTCCCCCTTCTCTCGCTCTCTTCCTCTCTCTCTCACACTCTCTACCCCTCTCTCTTGTTTCTCTCTCTCTCTCGCTCTCGCTCTGTATCTGCGTGTGCGTGCGTACGTGCATGCGTGTGTGTGGTGTGTGTCTCTCTCTCTCTCTCTCTCTTCTCTTAGTCTCTCTCTCTCGTCTCTCTCTCTTAGTCTCTCTACTTTCTCTCTCTCTGCTCTTCTTGCTTATCTTTCCTCTCCTCTCTCTCTCTCTCTCTCTCTCTCCTCTCTCTCTCTCTCTCTCTCTCTCGCTCTCTCTCTTCTCTCCGCCTCTGTCATCTGCGTCGTGCGATGCCGTGCGTGTGTGTGTGGTGTGTGTGAGTCTCCCTTTCTCTCACTCACTCTCTCTTTCAATCTCTAGCTCACCTCTCTTAATTTGCGCGTAGTGTGTGTGTGTGTGTGTGTGTGTGTGTGGTCTGTGTGTGTGGTTGTGTGTGTGTGTGTGTGTTGTGTGTGTGTGCGTCGCGTGCGTAGGTGTCTCTTTAACAAAAACTCATCTATATCTCCCTCCGCTATTAGTACTATATATATTATATATATATATATACGCTATTAATAGCCTATCTTATATATATCACTATATATATTCAGGAGCGTATAATGACAATATTTGTCATTATACGCTCCTGATAATATCCATATATAAATATTTGTCACACACGTTTGATTGCGTTAGTGTGAAGAATAGAGCTGTTTACTTCTAAATACGTGTTACGTGTTAAATTCTATCCTAACCTAACCTATCCTAACCTAACCTAACATAACCTAACTTATCCTAACCTAACCTATCCTAACCTAACCTAACCTAACCTACCCTACCCTACCCTACCCTATCCTAACCTAACCTATCCTATCCTATCTATCCTAACCTAACCTATCCTATCCTATCCTAACCTAACCTAACCTAACCTATCCTGACCTCCCTGACCTTATCAGTAACCTCTATACCCTATCCTAACCTTAAACCTAACCATATCCTACCTGTGCAAACCGAACCGAACCGAAACCTAACCTAACTAACCTAACCTTAACCTAAGCTAAACCTAACCTAACTAACCTAACATAACCTAACTAACCTAACCTAATCTAACTACACTAACCTACCTAACCTAACCTAACCTGAACCTAAACCTAACCTAACCTAAACCTAACCTAACCTAACCTAATCCTAACCTATCCTGACCATATCCTAACTAACAAAATGACAGCAACGCTGATGAGCGTGGATAGGCGCAAGGAAGAATATCCACTTGTTCACCAATATTTAACAGGAAAGGCAGTGCAATCGGTGGTTTATTGTGTGGCGTGTATCCATAGACCCCTTCGCGTTTCACCTAACGTCGCTAAAAGTTTATCTCGTTAACCGAGCGAAAGTTGTTCGTTCGTAAATAGCTAAATCGAGGTCAGTTAATAATTATAATATTATATAGGCTCTTAAATTTATCGCCGATTTCATGTACATATGCGTGGTTTATACATGAATCTATCTCATACTATATATGCTAGATCAATAACAGTTTTATTAGCGTTATTATATGTGCCTGCCACGCTCGCTTTACAAAAGAGCTATACAAATTTATATATTTTTATACTTGTGTCGCTTGTTGAACCAGCATGAGGCTGCGAGATGGGTGTCCAATAAATATCATATATTTCGCAATTTTGATCGTGTTTGATTCAACTTGGATTGCGCCTCTGTTTGTGTCTGCTATTCTTTAATGCCCAAAACTTACAACCTCTTATTAACATTTTCTATCATGGTTTCATTGTGAGATGGTAGCGAGAGGCAGCGCGGACTGGGCAAAATATTCAGGCCGGGAAATATAGCGTGAAATATTAGCCCCAGGTCAGGCCACTTTATTAAGCGGGGGTGTTCTGGGGTCCCGGGACTCCCCCAACAGTGAAAATTTTTTGTTACAAGACTTCATTCCATTGCATTCTGGTAAATTTTAGTGCTATGCATTTTTGAATCACAAACTAATGAGCCAACAACTGCCTTAGTACAATATACTGTTTATGAAACCTTCAAATAAAAAAATATACAAATCATTAAAGACGAGAGCGACACAAGGACTAACATTTAACCAATATTTAATTACATAACTAATGTAATAATTATTTGGATGTACATATAAAAACATTTCATATCAACTAAAACTTCAATGAGATAAACTTAAATCTCAGATAATCCTGTAACTAAACAATGCACAGTGTATTTGTATCTGACAATACCTGTGGGTATTGTTAGCGAGCTTTCAACAATACACTGTGTATTGTTTGATCCTCCCTCCCCATTCTACAATACACGTGTGTATTGTAGAATGGCTCATATTTATTCGCTAAAAATGGCGGGTTCAATGCCGCCACTTCGTTCACTTAATTGGTTACAGGCTGTATTTTTCTCTAAGAAGAAGAATTTTTAGTTAACTATTACATATTAGATGTGTTATCAATGTTACAATCTCCTGGTCTTTTGATCGGTCAAGCACATTTTCTTATTTCGATGGCCAACGGCTGCGATTCTGTATGATATTTGCGACTACATCGTGGCTTACGTTGGCAGATAGCTGAAGTTACTTTGTTGTTTGTGTACTAGTACATATTATATAAATTCTCTCAGCTTATGTTAATTCACTTTAAAATGAATAATGCAACGACTATGTGTATTGTTGTAGAACTCTAAACAAAAGGACTATTCCCTGAGATAGTTTTTCTTATTGACTTTGTCTTTGGTTGCCAGTGGGCATCTCGGTTGCGATAGATATCATGTAAAAATATTTTGCATTTGTTAAATTGTTTTTATCCGCGATGTTTAAGCGATCAAAATATTTTTAATTACGAATTCTCGTCTTTGTTATAGTTATCAATATAGCGTTACTTTAAGAAATTATTAGCGATATTACTTTAATTAAACTTGAAATTCAGAAAGACCCATGCATGCACAAAGACTCGTTTTAGATGGCAGTGGACTTAATTGTAGGTCAACCGCGCATGGCAGTGATCTGTACACAAATGGAAATCACTATGCCAAAACAGCGTAAGTTTCTTTTTATTAAAGGTTAGATAGTATAAGCAAGTTAATACCTTATACCTTGCTAAATATTATAGCTGTTGCATTTTTGCTTTTCTAACGGTATAGTGATTTCTCTATTGTCCTAAGCTTACTGTATAGGCTACAGGCTACTGGCCTTCACTGCCTAGAGTAGACGCAATAAAATTAGCTGCTGCGCTACCCGCCACCAGCAGCAGCACCACGCGACCACCACACTACTACTACAGTTAGTACGTACTACTCTACTACTTACTTTACTAGTTACTAGTACTTACACTACTAGTTTACTAGTACTAGCTACTAGTTGCTGATAGGGTTCTATGTCCCCGGGTACTGCCGGAACGCTACCTGTGTTACGGTCCGATATACCGGAACGTACCTAGGTACTATATTTATATGCCCGCGAGACCGTACCTATATCCTACTCACTTAACGAGTCTAGGGACTCGCCTACGCATTACCCCTAACCCTAACCGAACCTAAACCTAATCCTAACCCATAACCCTAATCCTAACCCTAACCATATCAAATTAGTGACCAGGTACGTTCCGGTATATCGACGTACCCAGGGTACGTTCGGCAGTACCTGGCGGACATAGACCCTATGGGC